TGTGAACTGACTACCGGTAGAACAACCTTGTGTCACGACGCCATGTGAAAATCAAGCGCTCGTCAATGACAATGTCGGTTTCTTCAATTTCACTACGATACCGCACATGGACAATGTCTAAAAACCTATGTTAGACAAGATTTTTGAAAAAGTTTTTGACGTCGGCCTACCGGGGTGCCATAAAAAAAAGTTTTAAACGCAAGACTGGGAATTTGAGTAGGGAAGTCGCATTTTCTATCACTATTATTTTCATTCTTTGTAGGCTACCTACATAATACATTTTAATTCTAGATTCAGGTCCAAATCTAGAGCCTAAGCCGTGATGTAGTCTGCACAAATAGCCAATAAGGAAGCTTTCTTTTTGAAGATACTTCGAGACGTTAGAGAGCTGGGGGGAAAGATTATCAAGGAATCTCCAAAGCACTGACGTCAGCAGTTTTTTCCCCATCTCTGGTAACTTAGCGACCACTCTCGACATGAAAGGGAAACACGTAAGAGACAAGACTTGAAGACAAGTAATTTAATAATGCAACACCTAACGAGGCACAGCACAGGATTGCGAGAACGAGAGAGGAACACCGATAATGTCAACGCAGTCACTTCAACCGTCGTTTTCTGGCACGCACAAGCCTTGTTAATTAAGAAGAAACAAATGCGGCTGCAAGGTCACTTGACTCGACGTTTAAACTTTAAACATTTTACACTCATTGAAAAATAGAGGGCAAACAAGGCAGGGTAGTTCCAGAGAAACTTAGGCCTATTAGAAAAACCCGAGCAGATGGTCGACGGGAACCAGGACTATGCAGGAGTTTTAAGAGCACCTGAGAGGGTAGATGAAAGAATAAACAAGATCGCCAATGTCTGTTTCAGAGTGACACTTTATGAATGAATGAAATACCCTTGTTGAGAGGTGTTATATTTGTCATCAACAGAGAACGTAAAAGATGGACAAGTACAGTGTAGTAGGCTTGTAGAAAGAACACCGTAAACGACAGAAGCGACGAACTGACTATTGGCATCAACAGGACAGACTATAGAACCACGATAAAGAGATTGGTAAACATTATTAATAAATAAGTGAGCTGACGCACTCTCAGACTCAGAGTAAATTCACGTTAGAGCGGGCCTACAGCACCGTGCTACGGGAAGTCAATCTGGCTACACGCACACATTATGTATATTCATGGACCTGCTGCGAAGGTGCAATGATACGTTGCTAATAACTTGGTCTGCAAATGGGAGTTGGGGCTTAGAATCCGATTTGGATAGGAAAAAAAATATTGGTAAAAGGCTGTCTAAGACAATTTCGACTGTACACGTGCTAACGAGTGTGATTACTGTGAATCCTATGATTACAACACATTCAAAAAGTTAAAACTCTTAAAACTCATAGTAGGAGAAAAAAAAACCAACCAACAAACAAACAGAAATATGAGAGATTGGGAAGGAAGGAGTACAGGGGGGCGGGGGATAAAGAGAGAAAGAGGGTG